GTGGCCGACTATGACGCCTGAATCTCGAGCCCGTACAGCAATTGAGCTCCGGGCATACATTGCAGAAATTCGTGCGCTCAAGCAAGAGCCGTCACCAGTCGGATGGATAGGTTCCGTGGGGTAGAAAGGTCTTATCTGTCCAAGGATTGGGATGCATGGGCGCCCTTGTGGACCATGGGAGTCAGAGGCAGATTTCAATGCGTTTCTTCTGAAACCACTGGATAAACGCAAGCCTGGAGACTGGCAGCGGGAGTTCAGGGATACTTTGGCTGGTTACAACCATCGAATTGTTTTCTCACATGCAGATCTCTCTCCAGACAATGTGATGGTGGATAAAGAAACGGGCAAAGTGACAGGTATAATAGATTGGGAGATGGCAGGGTGGTGGCCGGAATATTGGGAATACAGAAAAGCAATGTATGGTGGTAGATCGTCTCTTTCGTGGTGGACGAAGCTGTTGGAGGATGTCATGGAGACGCACTGGGAAAAGTGGGGATTAGAATCGGACTTGGAGAATTTTGTATGAGCTGCTCCTGCATATTTTTAGATGGCAGTCATCGAGATCTTTCTCTCGAAGTAGGAAGCTTGTAAATGAGAATCTTTCTCAGAGACCAACCTGGATGTTATGAATGAGAAGAACGGAAGCTTTTTTCATGCACCAGCGGTTATCGGATTTTTCTGATTCCAAGTTCGGCTTCACTTTGAATCGATTTTATCTCATATTCCTTCCCCGTCCAGCCTTCTACTTTCTCTCAAGCCAGAAAACCCATCCTCAGAAGCCTTGCTCAACAGCAAAGCCACATAGTTGCAGTAAAAGCCCCTCTAACACAACTTACAGGCTGTGTTGAAGTTGGAGTAGTATGTGTTCTTTGGCGCGACACAGCACAGCCGAACGACCCACTTAGAGTGCGTAGGAGAAATACCACGCAATTGCTGTAGAGAAAAGTGGTGCTCGGGAAAGAGTGGGTTCGTAAAAGGAGGTGGCGAAAAAGACATAAAAGGCAAGCCATTTCGTCGACCAATTCCTACCATTGCATCAACCACCATCATCTAACTTGAACTCCTACCTGCTAACTCTGACTTTGCCACATCTACCATAACTCAATTATGTCTTCATCACACTCACCTCATCACTGCGAAGTACACCCCGTTGCGTTCAATGATATAAAGTATTGCACCCTGTGCGACCAATACTTCGAATCGCTCGTAGAACTCCTCCAACATATTCAAACTTCCGATGTACACCCGCGTTGTGAGCCTTGCAACCGTGGGTTCCTAAACAAGAACTCCCGCAGAAAGGTAAGTCTCATGCGCCACACACTTTCTATAGCACATCCCTGATTGTATCTTGCCCGCTCAGCACTATGCCTTGTCTTGTAATCATATATATTGCGATGTCTGCGATAAACTTTTCAAGACGTACGCAGCACTCAATGTGCACCTCGAGCACTCTATCCGTCACTCAGATGATTCCGACGATGATGACGAGGATGCCGTCGATGATCGTCCAGATGGTTGGGAGGAGGAACTCGCTGAACAGCTCGAGAGAGAAGCGTGTGCTAAGCAGGTTGAGGAGCAATTTACAACCGATCCTGAGGAAGACAAGCGGTTGTCGAATGTGCAGCGCAGACAAGCAATGCTGGTCAGTTTACCCCTTTTCAAAATATATTCCCCTTTTGCTAACCTTGCTTCTTAGAACTTTATGACTCGCCGTAAACGCGGTGTCCCGAGCGAATCACGCTCATACTGTTGCCCAGTCTGCCTCAGCCATCCAAAGACCGTTGCATCAACTCGCTGCGGCCACCTTTTCTGCATACCGTGAGTAAAGTGTTTGTACTTAGTTGATACAAACATCTCATGGTTTTTCTTCCTCAGATGCATCTCCAAGTCTATCGAGCAGAAAGGTGAATGCCCATCATGCAGAACAAAGAATGGCAAAATGCACATCCGTAAACTTGACATGGGAGTATACTAGTTGTTACAATGTTTTGACCAATAGCCAATCAATAAAAAACAATTTCCATCTGACTCGCCGCTCATTTGACATCTTTGATTGTTTTTGATCTGAGATCGACCAAGCAAGAAGAATATTCGTGACGCCTCTATTTTTAAGTGCGATATTCGATATTTATCTAACATTCACCTTCGAAGTGGTGAATGTGGATTTATCGTCGACAATCAGTGAGTGCACTCCTGCGCCACATAGATGACTAGGAAACTCTTTCCATGTGAAACGTGGGTGAGTTAGAAAGCAAAGTGAGGTATTGGATGTTGGGGAAATAAGAAACAGTTGGTGCGAAGCGCTCCCCCTTTCTGAATGTCCATATACAAGTCGTCGTTTCTTTGACCTAGTGTTATCACGGCCAGGGGAAATTTCCGTGATCTTAGTCGCGGTCGCAAGCGCCGCACACCTTAGTCGCTGTCAATGTTAAGCGCCGAGCGCCCATAAGTTCTCTGAAACGTACTCTATCATCTGATTAAGGTGCACCGAATCTGGAATCCCTCGAACCATCGTCCGGCCCATTCTAAGAACGATACTAGGTTCATTATTTGTTCTCAGGCTGCGGTTGTTGGCTCACTCAGAGGCTGAGTCAGTTACTTTCCTCTAGTTGACTAAAGCCTTCCGACTAAAGCCTTCCAATCTCACACGCAAGGCGAGAGCCGGCGCGTTGCATTAGGCTCTTCACAGCAATCTACCTTATGGAGATTTATCTTCTGGAATTAAGATGACTAGCCTTCCTGCCGCCAGATGTGCTGATAAAGCCCAAAGCATTCAATTGATGAACGCGATTTTGTCATCGTATACCCGATAGTTTGGCACGCATAAGTATTTAAATCAAGTTTTCTCAGGCCTCCTTTAAGGATATTGACACTATGGCCTCAGACAGTCAAAGAATTTTGCTGATTTTCTTGAGATATTTCAGACAACCTAGAGCCTAGATCCTCACCATTGAACGATCTGGCGACGAATGGCGCTCGATATTCTGTCAATATCTTGGAAGAATTAGTCCAGATAGTATGGGGAATTGCTGTTTCCTTTTTGGGACCGCTGCCCCACTGACTCCCTGAATCGAAGTTTTTGTTTTCTTCGAACGGATGTCCTGGCAGTGGCAACCAGTAACAAGTTTACAAGAGCTGTCTGTCACTACGAGCAACGACGTATGACAACGATTTGAACTTGGTTTAGGATGGCCTCGTTGGTGCGTTGAGGATCCTCGATCCCAAGCCTGGCCATTGACATCTTTTATACAGTCTGTCACGTACATCACGGCACAAGGCCGTCAGGAGTTTCTAAGTAGAGGCGTCAAGGCTGCACAGCCCTAAGCCATCAAGCTACAACAATGCCAGTTGGTTCCAAGATAATGGTTCACATGTGCCTTTCGAGCTCCATTCATATATATACTTATAAAGTGCTTCTGTTGGTTCGTCAGCCAGTGGCAATCCGTTACTTGTCGCGATTCACGAATTTTATCCTGGGACCAAACGATACACCATGGGGCGCTCCGGACTCGTCCTGGAGGCGGTTCGTAGTATTTCTGCCTTTGTTAGTGGAACACTTTCTTCAGGCATGAGATCGATACATCAACCAAATCCGTCTGATTCATTTGTGGAGTTTCGCCCTCAGACACGTAGTTGTGAGGATTGGGAAAAGGAAGTGTTGGAGGTCTACGTGTCGAGTCAAGCTGGTGATTATGGTTCCCACAAAACTCGCATCTCGAGAGAAAAAGTTGTCGAGCTTCGTGCTTATAAAGAGGATACATCCAGCAAACTCTACCAATATCTTGTCGCTGCCATATCCGCTATGCATACTCCCGGACACCATGTCTACATGTGTTTGCGGATGGCACCCATAAACGATCGCACTTTAACTACTGTTGTAAAACGACTTGATGCTTGGCCTAGCAACGCCTTATTGGTTGAGCAGACTTGCTTTGACACGGACTGTCTACCTGTACTCCTCGACCTCATTCTCCTCGCCCCTATTGTCTCCGGCATGTTAGATCAATACCTTTTCAAAGATTACGAATTCTTCTCTGCCGACCTGATCCTTCGGGCTCTCCAAGAGCTTTTCCATTACACTTGTCCTAAGTCCGATTCGAGATACACAGATCCTACTTTTGTAATCCTTGATGGAAGTCCGATAAAACGACGAGAACTCTGTTTTGTTCTCCCTTTCCGTTCCAAGCTGCTAGACGAAATTGAACCTCTATTCATTGAAAAAAGACGAAACTATGGGTTGCACGTTCGTCGTCTTGTTGATAAGCTGCCATTTTTTTGACGCGACGTCTTTCTAATCGCTGCAGAACACGCCAAAACCAGCCAGATTCAAAAGAACAACTCCTTTGCGACCTGATAAAGGAAAGCGCCCAGAGCGCCAAGTTACTATAGCAGAAAGGAAGAATTCAGATCGTCCTCGGTCAGAGAATAGTAGGCGTAGGGCGAAGGATCAAAATCAGCCAGGAGGGAGCCAACTGTAGATGTCTCTGCATCATCTTCAAATATCCATAGCTTGCTAATCGGTTTCGTCACTTCGATGGTTAACCGTAACGCAAAAGGAGGGCCCCACTGTCTTGCGTTGTCTTCTATTGTTGTCTACAATTCGCCAGCGCACTGGACAAGGACTTGATTAAAAATCCTGAATGCTAAAACATGTATATGCATATTCACCACCCTTTTTGAACATCAGTATGAAGAGTATATCGTCTCAAAGACAGTGTACTGATAGTATCAGACATCTCTGTATTTCATATTGGCATTGTAATTGAGCATTGGGCCGCCTATGTAGGCTGTGGCATGTTCTCTTAACATCTCAGTATTGATTCAAGCTACTTGATTATTCGAAGTTATAGGACAATGGTTATACAGAGACCCAAGTGTTAAACTAGTATCATTGTTGTTTGCTTGCTATCTTGAATCAGGTGTATCGTAAACATATCTTTTTTTCACATACCTTATTTCAAAGAGTACGGAGTAAAATACTTAACCTGCGTGCTGTCAAGTTCCCCCTAGCCGACTTGAACGACTGACCTCGTCATGACGTAATGACTCATACTAGTGACGCGCTCTACCACTGAGCTAAGGGGGATAATGCTCGAGTATTCACGCGTTTATATCTGATCTATCCATCCTATTCATCAATATTCATCAATTGGTTTCCCGCCTGCACAAACCAGTTATGTGGTATTGATACGCGCAACCCATGAAGGCATGCGAATGTGATGCGAAGCTATGCAATAGATCTGTGCATCCGCACACCCGAACTCACACGACGCGCAGTGCGCAGCTCTCACAAAGCATAATAAAACCGTGGAATTGGTAAAATTTAACGTCGGGACCGCGGAAGATCTGACGGAATACTCCACACCTATTCGCATCATACGTACGAAGCATGTAGTACGTTTGATCATAAGTAATAAGTAAAAGTATGATTTTTATGTATACACCGGTAGTAGTACGAGCCCAACCTATGGTAAACTGCCAACGCCCACTCGGTAACACGAAGATTATGCGACGCAAGCCAAAAGGTAAAAAGAACCGGAAGTGTCATATGTATCTAGCGAATTTGACTTTGGAGTGTGGGGAAGAAAGTGGCGCGAGAAGGCATCTTACATACTTGCCGATCATCCTGCCGGTATCAGGACTTAGGATACCTGACTGAACCTGACTGGGTATCCGTATGTACATAGGGGTTTGTTACGGTCGCGAACAAGTATGGTCGTTATGTAGTACGATATTGCAACTGAGAGATGAAGAGATGGGTTACCACACAGGGTGATTGGGATTGTGTTGGATATTGGCCATCTCATCATTATGGCATGTATGCACGAAAACATTGATACATATGTACGTAGCACTCAGGGCTGACTTCCAGGTTCAGGTTCGGATTTGTGGGGGTAAACGAGTATGATGTGACATGGTAAACGGCCCTAAGTAATGGCTAGAATGGAATGGAAGGAAAGGGGCCTTGTATCGGAATGTTATATTGAAGTGTGGATTGTGAGGGGAGTGAGGTTGACACTTGATATGACAGATGACATATACGTATCATCGTATTCCTTGTATCTCTGAGGTCGAGGCCGGGTCGGAAGCTTCTTTCAGTGCTTATGATAGAGACCTTGCACACAAGACAGCAACAGCGTAAGTCTCTTATCATACATATAAGTGACCGAATACCAGTGTGGTTCTCACATACATACCATACATATCTCTGTAGCCTCTGAAATGGAAGTTTTCGCCTCGAAGGTTAAGTTTCCACTTTTCGGATTGAACAAGAATACGAAAAGAAGCTCGGCGCTAAGCCAGGGTCACGGACCGTACATAGATAAGAGAGTTCTCACTCTTGCTAGTCTGTCGCGCCACCCAGAACCACGGTGAAAAGTAGGATGGAAGGATTGGACTTCCATTTCGTTTTTTGCGGAAAACTGCCACGTAGGAACGCGTTATGTGTAAACATGGGCTGATAGATAATAATATCGTAATAGATATGCACTGACATCTTTATCTGAATCCTCCAGTCATATATGTAATAGATAGGCACTGACCTCTTGATCTGAATCAATCATATATATCGTAATAGATATGCACTGACCTCTTTATCTGAATCCTCCAGTCATATTTATCGTAATAGCTGACCTCTTTACATATAGATATGCACTGACCTCTTTCTCCTCCAGTCATATATATCGTAATAGATACGCACTGACCTCTTTATCTGACTCCAGTCATATATCCGATAAGACCTATCAGATTCTGTAACGTATAAACTCCGATTCTCGATGATACGATGTCGACGGTCGGCGTACAGGCGGAAATACTATATACACAGAGATGGAAATGTGTCCGCGTCGAAGATTTTCTACATAGACCCGAATTGAATGGAAGTTATGACGTGAGCTCGGCATGGACTTGGCAGTTCACGTTATAGCTAGGCACGTTCGAGGCAAGATCGAGGCAAGATCGAGGCACGTTTGCATTTCTGTTCAGATAGTTATCGCGAATATCATGCAGAAATGTGAACTCATGTGAGAGGAACAGTAAGGGCTGGTCGGCATTTCATAGAGGAGAAGTACTCAGCAGGTGCCCGAACTCGGAGTTTTGCCTGCATTTGGCTGTTTCTCTGATTACGATCAAAAATTTCTTACTTCGGACTGACTCTTCGACGACGATATCTGGTTTTCTATCATTAGGTTCTTTGGACAAAGGACATTGCGAATGTTCTAATCTGAAAATGAATTCTCGGCTGGAAGTGATGCACGGTGGAGTGATGTGAGACACGGCAGCCGGCAAGCCGCAAGTCTAAAATGTTGCGATAAAATGGAGATGACTTACTGAACATACGCGGTCACCCACTTGCTACCCGAGCTTGTCGCTGTTCTGAAGCCAGGATCACCGCTACCCTCGCCTAATCTTGTGTTTTATAGCTAACGCTCCTCCAAAGTCCGCAAATCTCTCCGCGGTCCCCATCTTGTGTCTCTAGCCCTGGCGTCTCCCAAGGCGAGTATTATAATTCAGTCCATTTCCCGCCAAATATGACTTTGTGCATCCAGATGCTTGCAACCCAGCGCATGTCGCCTCCCAATTCCGTTTTTGCAGGCAATCAGGCGGGTGCACCTCTTCCTCTCATCCCAAGGCGTCTCTCGCGCGAGTCCTCCTCCTCCTCTTCTCTTCCTGTCAAGGTTGTCATCCAACACTCCTCGCCCCCGCTGCCCTTGGACGACTCGGGTTCCTCCTCATCTAGCGACAGCGGTCGCCCGACTGTCTCTATCCGTGCCAAAAGAGTATGTCCTGAACAACCTCCTCAAAACGATACAACCCCCCGCCGCGCCCCATTATTGTACTCGCCTGGTGTTACCTTGCGCCCAACTACAGCACGTAATTTTTCTGAGTCTCATGCCCAAACTTCTTCTGCCAGCTCAGGCTCAAGCTCTCTCGAGCCCCCTTCTCCCTCTACTATTTCCGTCTCCCAATCTCAACCCCGCCTAATCCGTAAAAAGTCTGGCCAGCTAGTAAAGTCCTCTTTGAAACCTTCCAAGTCTCTTTCCCTCCTTACTCCTTGTTCCCCCTATACGCACTCCCGGAGCGCGCCGGACACACCCCTACACACACCCAAGAACGTTCACTTCGATGCCCAGCTCGAACACGTCAAGCTCTTCCTCGCAGAACAAAAACCTCTCGCTGTATCTCGCGACGGCAGTCCAACAGAAGACACCGCCTCGGGCACCGACACCGACTTCCCCGACTGGGTATTTGGTACCAGTTCTTCCCCTTCTACACGTAAACTCATAATGCACCACGTAAACCGGGCCCCTCGCCTCTCTGCAAACAGCAACGATGTCGTTCTCGAGTCCCTCGAGCTAAGTCCCGACGCGCCTTCTGTCGTGGGTCGCGTACGCGTAAGCAACCTCGCCTATACCAAGTCCGTCGTCGCGCGTTTCACATTCGACGCGTGGCAGACGACGTCGGAGGTCTCCGCGCGGTACGTCTCCTCCCCCTCCCCACGAACAGATATCTTCGTCTTCAGTGTACGCCTAAACGACCTCATGGCGCGCATCGATGGAAAACGTATGTGTCTCGCCATGAGGTACACCGTTGGCGGTCGGGAGATATGGGACAACAACGGCGGGGATGACTATCTCGTCGAATTCGGACTCGAATCCAAGTCCAAGGATTCTGAACGCGAGGTATTTGAACGTGAGAGAGAAAAAGAAAGAGAATGCGAACGCGAAGATCGCAGCCGCCGACCCACCCCCGACCCAACTGCCATCGCTTCCCTCCGCTCTACCCTCGAAAAAGTCGTGGCGCCCTCTCCTGTGCCCCGATACGATTTCTCTCAGTCTCTATCGAGCCGCTGGGTCCCACCCACACTTCTGCATACGCCTGTACCACAGGATTCTCCGAATTCAGCCCCCTCGCACGCGCAGGTGAGGACGCAGTCATATCCTAGCCCTGGGACCACGCCTCGTCCCAAGTCCCATGCGAATTCAAATTCGAACTCGATCCCGTGGCCCAGAGGTGTGAAGGAGAGGGAGAAGGAGAAGTGCCAGTGGACGCCGCCCCTTGGAAGTCCTCGCGATGTGTCGGATGAGGATCGGCCGCTGTTTGCCGGTGTGAAATATACCAGGAATGACGCGGGTACGGAGAATCTGTCGCTTCCTCCTAACGCTTGTACGCATACCCCTACGCCGACCCCGAGAAGACATCATAGGAGAGGGTACTTTGACGTCCATCATTTAAATGCCAATGGAAGTGTAAGTGGAAAAGGTAGTGGGGTGAGGCGAACTCCGCCTGGTTCGCCTCCTGTTGGTCTTGTGTCTGAGTCGGACGATGAAGAGTCTGGGTCGGATGAGGGTGAGGATGAGAAGACGCCCATGCCGGGGAGATGTTACTCGTTCCCGCCTACGTCGACGAGGACAAGGACGGGAATGGGAAGTGGGATAGGGACAGCGGGGCTTGGGTTCTTTGCTAACTCTGATGCTCGTGATGCTCATGGTCATCCGGGTTTGGGGAGAGCAGGAGCGGGGGTAGGGGCAGGGGTCGCGCTTGGACAAGGTGTCGGTATTGGCATGAGGATAAGGATGGGGATAGATGCTGGTGTGAGGATGGGAGAGGACAGCGAGCTTTCGACGCCGAGCTTTGGGAGTTCGAGGGCTACGAGCCCGAGCCCGAGCCCGAGCCCGAGTCCGACGGAGAGCGAGCTGAGCACTGAGACGGATGATACGGAAACCGAGACGGAAACGGAAACGGAATGTGAGGGGGGCGGAAGGTATAAGAGGATTGGTGCGAATGATAGTAATGGCAGCTATAAGGAGTTCTTGAGCAGGTTCGTTTGTCTTTCCTTCTCTTCTTCACTCCTAGAAAGCTGACTACGACCTTTTTTTTCCCTACTTACATAGATTTTGCTTCTTCACAGGAACAGCAACTGCTACGGGCGTCGGGATCTTCCCCGATTCCTCAGATTCCCCACCACACGCTCTTCCTCTGGACTCCTCCCATTCCTCTCACTCCTCCCACATACGCGCACACACCTACCCCCACGCGCAAAAACGATTTATCGTGCCACGCACCCAGAGCGCGTCGGAGATCATC